AAAAAAAAAAAAAAAAAAAAAAATTACAAGTAATATTGTATATGGGAAGGTTAGATTATAGTTGAGAAATAAGAAAATAAAAGCTTTGTAATTCTACCATCTGGCAATAATCAGTACTTTAGTGTGTACTGTTTTCAAGGATACCACAATAAATTGTCACAATATGATGCACATTCTGAAAAATAGTAGTAAGACATAGCCATTACGAAGGGAGAACCTAAAGAGTAGCAAGTGAACACTGCCCAGAAATGCAGTGCCTAATGTGTGAATGGTTCAAACTAGGTTTCTTTGTAAGACAACTAGAACACTGGACAGAAGTGAAAAAATAGACAAAATACTAATCTAATGAGAAATTAAGTTGTTAAAAGCTGATAGAATTTTTGACAGGTATTTGTGTGTAGGGGGAGGAAAAAAATTGGAGTTCAGGGTTTACCAGGGGAGGAGTCTTGGTTAAAACAAAAAATGAAAACAAAAAAAACTGTCCTTTTTTGGGGGGGTACCAGGGATTGAACTCGGGACTTTGCAATTGCGAGGTAGGTGAGGTGCCATTGAGCTAAATCCCCGGCCCTAAAAAAAAAAAACAAAAAAAAAAAACTTCTCTTGAAGTTGGGAACCATCCAGCTTTATCCTAGAAGTAAAGATGAGCCAGAGATAAACCTGCCTTTTGCAGAAACTGAAGCCCAGCTTCAAATCATCCCAATTCTCTTGGACCAGATACTCTGGAATTGCTGGATCCTTGATCTAGTTGTAGGCAAGAAGCCAGCGTTATTTCAGAGGAAGATAATATCTAGACTCAAATGTCTTGTAATTTTCTTAATATAGTGATGACATTTAAATCTAAGAAAAAGAACACAAAAGGGAAAACAATAAGTTATTTTGTATAAAAGGAAAGAAGCATAACCAGACACATGAGAAACGGCCAGATGAGATGCTTAGAGGGTCCAGACAGTGGATGTTCAGATCTATCCTAGAATTAATAAGATTACCTAGTTAAAAAGTAAAGTAATTTCATTGGAGATCCAGTAGTTAGTGGAAAGGAAACTCTGGGATTGTAATAGATGAGTTTAAGAATTCAGTGAATGATTTTTAATGGCATATGGACACAACTGAATAAATTGGAAAGAACTGGGTGTGAGGTCAGAAGAAAACATAGTTGAATCGGAAAAAGAGCTTGAAATAAACAGAAAAGAACATTAAGAAAGGTAGGATTTAATAAAAAAAAAAAAATCATGTGTACTTGGAAATACCTGAAGAGGAGAGAGTGAAACAAAACCATGCTTGAAGTAATAATAGCTAAGAATTTTGCAAAATGCATCAAGACATAAAACCACAGGTTCAAGAAACAAAACACTTAGAGTGGAGTACACAAATGTGTATGGTTATTAAAACATTACAGTAAAACCAAAGACAAATAGAAATCTTTGCATCCAGAGGGAGAACTGGAGAAACAGTGCTGAGACTGACTACCAGTTTGTCCATAGAATCAGGGCAGTTGGTAGAGGAGTAATATCTTTGTGGCACTAAGAGGAATGCCGGTCAGGAGTTCTGAATCTTAAAATATTGAAGATGAGAAGTAGTACAGTAAATAGATCTCTAGACAATCAGAATTTCTTAGC